GAAATGTGACAAACCGAGGCGTCTCTATGGTTTGACTAACGGTGCATTATTAGTTAGCAGAGTCTACTTATGTGATCAAAGGCACCAAATCATTGCTCATGATCCTGAGATTCTTAAACAACTGAAATGTGTGATTCCGTAGTTCATATTGTTTCACAAGACCGGTGTAACCAGAGAACTACACAACTTTATATTAACCCATGCACATGCTGGTTTAACTATTAGTGAGGTTCACGCTCTATGGCTACAAAATATGTATGATGCTTATGCTTCGTGGAAAGAATTGTACACTGCAGCAGTTTCACATGAACATAAACCTTTCCCAGCGCTTCAGCAACAATGTTCTTGGCCTGATGAAAAGATAATAGCCTTATGTATTACTCACAGTATATGTATTACACACGACAGAGGTGGCAAAAATTTAAATGCTTTTTTCGGAAAAACAAAAGAATTGGCTTAATTCTGAAAAATATGTTGCCTGATTTTTTGAAAGGAAAAGGAGTGCTAAAAACAAATCTAAACCTATGTTTAGTTAGACTAATCTTTTATTAGTTTTAATATGCAACAAACATGTTAAATGCGTTTCATTGCTACTTCTTTTATAGGCATGAAAGAGTGCAACACAAGAAAGAGTGCGAACCTCCAGAGACACCCCTTAACAAACACAAATCGAAAGAGAACGGCATTTCCAACTACCACAATGCTAGACTACAGTGTGGCCTTATATTCTTAAATATGACTGATGCCATCAAGGAAGGTGATGGAGAAAGGCTTGTGAGATGTTACAATATTATACTCCTGTTTGAGTACAAAGTCAAGCACACCAAATATGCATATGCATTGCTGTTATTTTTTTCAAAAATTATGCTTTATTGTCACCACTTGCCTGATAACCACCGCTCAGCACTTCCAAATGCGATCTCTAATCCCTCAATTTCACTGTCACTCAAGTCTTCTAATGAAGCGGCTTTGATACCGATATGTCCCAAACGTGCGGTCTGTTGCTTCCTAGAGGAGTTCTAGAGGACTAACGACTATAACTTTAATGGTTTTGTTTCTCCTGTCTTCCTTTTCCAATGAGAAGTCAATGTCTTTGGCAGAAATTGGTATATGATGCTTTTGCCATATCCAGTTTGAAGGACGCCGAGGACGTCTTTCATGTCGATTAGTAGACTTTGAAGGCAAGATTCTTGTTCTTTCTTCAGTTTTATACCAGGAAAAGAATTCAGTAGCAAGTTTTAGGTCGTATTGATTCATCAATATTGTTATGTAGAGCTATAGAACGAGCATAGGGAGGCAGCATGGTCAAGTGGTCATAGCGTCGCAATCCTGTGGTGCCGGATTCGAGTCCCGTTGTGGCCACTACCTGATTTCTGATTAGTTCAAATTCAGTTTCTCGAAGATGCTTGTAATATAGCTAACTGGTTTGCCTCCTTGCCAGTTGGGATTCTTAACACGCTTTATATTTATTTGATCTTTCATTTCACTACTGTGCCATGAGTAATGTATGTCACCCTCGTTCAATAAAGTCAATTTATTTATTTGTTTATTTCAAACAAACAACAAACACATATTCAAAATGGTGGCATACCTGACTTCGCGTTGCTTTTGCAACGATTTTAACTTCCGGTAAAGACCTATTGTCTAATTAGCGCCCCAGAAGGCCTGATACTCAGGCTACAACAGTTTCAAATGTTATCTACTTGATGGTTAGTATTTTTTGATTTGACCATAATCCAACCAACCCCGGTCCTAATAGAGAGCTAAAGAAACAACCTCCTTATAGCCCATTTTTTAACTGCATTAAAAGCGTCGATAAAAGCTTACATAAGCCATCCAGACATTCAACGGCAGATACGTGACAGACCCGAAGCAACCACATAGCTTGGTTTGGTCTGATTAACGCGATTGGCTGTTTATGACTCTAAAAGTCTGAGAGTTTTTATAAATTCAGTCAAAACTGACATAACTAAAGTTACTTCCAAAGATTTTTATCAAGAATTCGCTTCGAAACTATTTGTGGTGCCTACAGCTCAAGAGAGATACAACGCAATTTACCCAAATTGTTCTCTTGATTGGAAAAAAATCTATGTTTTGCCTTTCCAAGTTGCTTTAAACACTCGGACAAGGGAATTTCAATTCAAGATCCTAAATAGGATTTTGTACAAAAATATTCAGTTAAAGAAGTTTGGTTATTGTGAATTAGCATCATGTACTTTCGGATGTGGAGAAGATGAAACACTCGAGCATTTATTGTGTGAGTGCCGACACACCCAACTGTTTTGGTTAGAAGTAATAAAATGGCTAGCCGAATGCAATATTGTGATGGATCTTTCAGAACCTATGAATATTTTATTTGGCTTGTACAATATAGGAAATAACTTTCATTTAATCAACCATCCTATATTAATGGGAAAACAAAGTATATTGTATTGTAAAACAAAAAATGTCAGACCTGAATTAAATATCTTTATAACTATAGTTAAAAATACCAAAAAAATAGAAAAACGAATAGCCCAAACTAGGAATAAGCTTACGGTTTATTTAAAAAAGAGGGAGAAAATTAATTAATTAAACCTGCTTTTATGCTGCCAAAATAACTCAATTCCTTATGTGCCGAGTTTCTAATAATTACTAATATCTAAATAGATTGTTAATTTTATATATCTGCCTATCTATGATTTACTAGTGTTATTTTGTTTTGTATTGTTATATTTATGAAAATGACAAATAATAAAAATTGTTAAAAAAAATTTTAAAAAAACATAGCAAGACTATACTATATGAACAAATCATTTAACACCCCTTTATAAACCACCTATGCTTAATGAAGTACCCCGATGCCTCTCAATTCCAAGTCCTTGCAATCTGTAATTGCAATAAATGAAGACAGTATGTACTTGTTAATGTATTTTCTCTATTTTGAATTATTTTGTGGGACAAGTTTACAAAAACATTTCTTCCCTCACAGCGTCCAAGATAAAGTGCCACAATTGTGGAGAGAACAGGCATGTAAAACGACAATGCCCAAGTGAAAAGGGAGTCATGAAACACTACAAACAAACAAACAAAAAAAAGTCCATGTATCCATTTAAAGTCTTCATGTCATATGCGTGTTTGATATTCTCGATTTTGAAGAGGCTTTGCTGAATTTAAAGACATTAATGTGCATATAATGTTTGGTATACTTGCATATATACATATAAAACCGCAAAGCTTACGCAAACTGCAACCTGCGTCGTTTCTACACTGAGGCCCGCACTAAAAGAGGGGAAATGTACGGGACACCCAAGCTCCTTGGTTTCTGCCATGCAATAGAGAGAAACCTGAATCTTCCCCCAAACAACAGGAACATCAAGATGTCCACAGATGCCAGGTTTCAAAGGTCCAACCAGATGCTGGATGCCCAGTTAGTGAACATGAAACGCAGCTGTAAAAGCAACCCCGAACATAAGCCAACAATTGTAGACGAGGATTGGTTAAACTTCGGTCATCAGAGGCATTGTCTGTCAAAAGTCCAGCATCCTTGCTACGAAATGTTTGGTTTCATGTCGTATTGTTTTTTTGTTTTTTTGCTTTTTGTATCAGAGGGAGAGAGGGCCAGAGAGAGCTGACAAAGACGGCTTTAAATTTGAAGTTGATGCTGCCGGCCGTAGATTTGCAACGACGTCTAACGACGAGCTTACGAAAAACCACCAAGGGGATTGAAAGATCACACAACTAGTTCCGCGAAGAATGCTAGGATGTATGAAACCGATAATGACGGCTATAAAGCACTCCAGCTTTATTTTAAGCTGAATCTTAAGATCAATGCATCCTTTTAGTATCCGAGAAAGAACTGGACGCCAACCAAGAATGTTTGGTACGAAGAAAAGCCCCTTGGAGTAAACAAGCTCGACACTGTGATGAAAACCATCAGTTAATTTTCCAAGGAGTACACAAATCATTCAGTAAGAGCAACAGCCATCACCTTGTGGTCAAACGCCGGTGTGCCAAATCGCCATATAATGGCCATTTCCGCACAGAAACGAGCTAAGTTTGGCTCACTACAACACTCGCCCTTCCACCGGCCAGCTACACAACTGCAGAGAAGTCCTGTCGAGAAGTCTTGCAGTTAAAAAGTCTAGAGTCCAAGTAAAGCCACAGCTGCATTCTTTTCGGCTCTGCCTCGTGCAACTCTTACGCTACCATCTTGCTCTCCCAACTATCCGCGTACACCATAAATAGATTTACGCACGCAAAGCATTGACTATTGCTTCATTATGATCTGGTCCTTCATATGCCCTTTCTCCATATTGCTGTATGAATTGATACCATGATAACTGCAACACCCAAACATTAAGGCAAACAGCCTTAAACCCTGGATGGTCTGGTATGCACCTTGGCTGCTCTATTCCTTCTGCCTCAACTGCCTCTTAATTTTTAGCCTTTACCTTATCAAATTCCTGGCAACAACAGCATTCCAATTGTAACATGAACACCTGAGAGAACTATATTGAACACCTCATAATACAATAGTCCTTTGTTTTCTTATACACTGAAAGCTGTGATAAAGTTCAGCTAATTAATGTATTATGCTTTTTCTTTTAACTTTTCATATTCTGTACCAGTTTTCATTTCCTATTTTAATTTTTGTCTTCTGCCTTGACTTGAGTGTTTATTTGCTGGAGGAAGAATTAAATCACGTATAATTGTGATAAAAATTGTTTTTCTTGCTGTTGTTAAGCTTAATTAAATATTAGAGACCTTTAGCATCACGTTTTTTCCTGAAACCGCAAACGGCAAACTTCAAAAACGTCACGTGACCAAGGTCTTGGAGTCAGGTTTCACGTTCGCGGTCTGCGTTTGTACCTGAAAACCATCGTCTAGAGGTTCGTCGTTTACGGCAGATGCTTTAAGCGTTTCAACTGAATTTTCTCACGTTAGGAACCCAAACTTGTGTATTTAATTCATTCTTCTATCGACACATTTGATTTAAAGCRGTAAATTTATTTGAAAAGGGGCTTATTTTTGCTAAAAAGCTGAAGTGACATAAGCTGAATGAAAACAAACATGGCGGCTCCACGTGCACCTGCTGACTAAAACTTTTACTGGTTCGATATTTCAGGTATTAAAGACTAAACTAGCAAGAAAAAGGTAGCAGATCTTTTAACATCATCTTCTTTTGAGATATGGCTCCGTTTCGYTGGCCATTACAGATGCACGACTTGATGCTCGCCCAAGAGGTAGCTGCACACAAACCTTCAGGAAAGGCTGAATGGGAAGAAATTGCTCAAACGTTGAGTAAAGTGTTTTCTAAAGAAGACAAAAATGTCATTCTAAAAGGGAGAGGCTGCAGAGAACACATGGAAAGACTGTTAGAAAAGTATAGAGACGAGGACAAGAAGGCTTTGAAAAGGTACACTGGTAGTGTAGCTTTGGAAAATGCTGAATATTAGACAGTGGAATACCTGTATTGTCTTTATAGCTTTTAGCTGTTTACTGTATCATCTTCTAGGAAAATAGACTGATTCCTTTTCACCTTATTGTTTTGTTTTTCTTTATTGAAAACTATTTTATTTTATGTGCGATTCAGATCTGGAACTGAGGAAGATTACAATGAACTATGCCAACTTCTTGAAGACATATCAACCTTCAGARGMGATCTGGAAGAGCAGAAAATCAAAGAAAAAGAAAATAAAAAGATCAAGGAGAAATCAGATAAGCAAAAGGGATTAGAAATGAGAGCTGCAGCCTTGTCTACAATGAAAAGTAAGACTGCAGACTTTCYAATCGATTAATTCATGTTAGATTAACTATCAATTTGCTGAGTTGATGAAATGAAAATAGATAAATTAAGTGCTAGTCGTGTTTATTGCTGTTTTTCACAAATTAATTAAACAATAAAGTGGTTTTCATAAACCCCGAAACAAAGTGTACAATTTAAAGTGTAAGAGTGTTTAATAGGTGAAAAGGCATAATAGAAAAAAAAAAGTGTGATAAAGTGTAATATGCCAAAGTGTATTACATGGGTTGATGAAAACCACTCTAGAAATCAAAATAATTAGCATAATTTAGCAGTATTTAGAACTATTTCACTTTTAGTGTTTGTACTCTATTAAAAAGCACTTGAATGCTTTTTAACAGAGCTTGTGATTATCATGAACAGTTTATTACAGATTTACAAATGAAACTTATTTCTTAGAAAGGAAACTTGATGACCAAGAAAGCAGCGGTAGTGATATTGATGAAAGTGACGAGGATGACATTAATGATGGTGATGATGATGATGATAGCTCAAGTAGCGCAAAAAAAGGTGAGACAAGTAAGGGGAAAATCCCATTTTGAGGTGTTGTTGGGGCTTTTGAGGGGCTTTCTCTATATAATTTAGGTATTAATGTCCTTTGTTTGTTTTTAAGMTTCCAAAGTCAAGACTGGGCCAAGGAAAAGGGCTTCAAGGCTATCTGCAATAGAAATGTTGGGGAACAAATATAGCAAAAAAGCAGATTACAGAGAAAAAGAGTTAGATTTGAGGAGACAAGAATTTGATCTACAAAAGAAGAAGTATGAAGATGAAAGGGCAGAAAGGGAAGAAAAATTTAAACTAGAACTGGAGGAAAGAAGGGTGTTTCTTTCTTTTTTAAAAGATAAACTCTAAAGCACTTTTCATTGATATAGAGTTGTGTTCATTCATTGACATGCATCTAGCAAAACCAGTTTGATGCATTTTCAAGATTGTTAGAATTTTTCTAAATTGAACCAGCATTTCTTGGCTAAAATCTTTACTGATATGATTTCATGGGCTTACACCATTTCGTTTTGGCATTTTGTTGCCTTTAACCGCCTTTATGTCAATTTTCTCTGACAAAGTTCAATATATGTTTATTAAGGATTCACTCATTGGTTTTACAGATACTTCCCATATTTGTAAAATGAAGCTATATGCAGTTTGAAATTTGTTTAAAAAGGTTAGACAATATGTGCAGTAGTGACTTTGTTTAGTTAACAATGCCTAGATATATCTTATTGATTGGAAAGATATCTCTCTAATGTAGGAGGATCTAATCCAAAGAACTTACTGGTTTGAGACCCATACAGGCAGGTATGACAATTAACCAGAACACATGCTACCAAGTAATATTTTGCTGTAGGCTGAAGAAGAACCTTTAAATTTCTCTTAAAATCTAAAAAAGCAAACAGTTGAGTGATTTTTCCAAATCCCCACTCAACAGTTACTCTGACTTTACTCATTAGGCTATTGAACTGCTGTTGATCAGGAGGTAGTCGAGCTCCACGGAATGGCGATATGATATTCTGTGTAATGCCATAAGCTGGGTCCCCGTATATAACATACGGCTCTCCGCTGGGTTTCTGAAATCGCTGCAGCTTATTTAGTAGGCCACTCTCGCCAAGCATGAAGGCATCGTGCCTCCTCCCCTCTATAGGACCATACATGTGKGCAATAAGCCCATTAGGAGCCTGAACGGACTGTAAAAAAAGGAACTTGTCAATGTTCTTTTTTTTTTAATGTYGTGTTAATACAAGTTAAAAGTTTGTTACCTGGAATTTTAAGCAATGCGTTCGCTTATGCCCACTGTACATAATCCGTTGATTAGCTGTAGGTCGTGCGATGGGCCTTGGCGTTCCATCAATAAAGCCCCAGCATTGTTCAAGTGGTGCTCCTTTATCGTATATAACTTGTGAAAAGAGTTGTGGGTCAAGCCAAATGAGGTCAAGGGATTCAAGCAGATGCTTGAAGCGATCATAAATGTCGTCCAATACCTATAGAAAAAGGAAAGAAAAATAATATACAAAATTGCAGATTAACAAATTAAGGATGCTGACCAGTAGGTATGTGTTTAGAAACTTGCTTTGTTAAATATGAGACTAAGTTCAGACTCGGGTCTTCCAAATATTGGGACAAGATCACACCATCTATTCGGGTATGCTAGCCTTCGTAGCAAGATCATGAGTGCTTCCATCCCAGTTGCTTTAGTTCTTTGGCTGCAGACGAAATGTTCGGGAATCTGTAAGCAGTCCAAAAGGTGTTCCATGTCGTTCTTCTGAAACCTACGGAATATTTTGCGACATTTTATAAGAGAATGATTGGATGAACGAGAAAGACAAAATAAAACTTAATTAAAATCCTACCTAAACATCGTTTCACAGTCGGCATCGGTGATGTCTTGAAAATTCAATCTGGGAACGTCTTTATTCGTTTGGGGTGGAAACAGAAATTCAACTAAAAGTAAGTCAAGATCGTCGTCATCGCTACTGGAGTTATCACTGCTATCGTCGAATAGCAAAACCGTAATGACATCGTCAAAATTTCGCCTAAATAAACCCATATAAAATACACGTTTTGAATATATGAACATAGTTAATAGAGGGAAATGGTTAGGAAACCCTTTTGTTATAAGTCTTTGTTCACTTTTTTCAAGCGTGACCGTGCACAATCCTTTGTTTTACAATTGTTTTACCATTGTTGGCAATGGCT